ACCCTGGCCCTGCCTCCGCCACCTCGGCCAGAGGAGGAGGTGATGACAGAGTGACTGCAGGCCAGCCCGCGAGGAGGGAGCCCGCCTGGGTGGAGGCCAAGGGCAACCCAAGGCAGGGGGCTGGGACAGGGAGGCGGAACTCAGGGCAGGGCGGCCAGGGTTCCAGACCATCTCAGCAGGTGCAGGTGCAGGTGCAGGCGCAGGCGCAGAGGGGGGAAAGGCAGGGAGTCAGGTTGAGCCAGACATCAGGGGGCACCTCCCCCAGGTGGTCAGCAGCCCCTGGTAAGGGACAGTCTGTGTGCCTCTTGTCCACACGAGCACTCGCCAGAGCTCACACGCCCAAATGCCAGCCTGGACCCATGCACCCCCAGGCCAGTCACTGCTCCCCAACAGGATACAGGGTCTTCCCAGGTCACACCACTGGCCCTTTATCTCAGAAGGCACCAGGCCTGCGACCCACGCCAGCACCATAATCCCCCACATCACCGCCTCGGGGACGTGGGACCCAGGGAACAGACCCCACTGGGCCTTTAACATTCGTGGGGGTGGGCAAAAGGGGCTTGGGTGCTCACACCTGGGGGAGCAATGAAGCCTCCGTCTCCTCCCAGCACATGGCTGGCACTGCCCGGTGAGCCCAGCCCCCTGGCAACCTCACGGATGACATGACTGTCCCAACAGGTGCCCTGCAGGACTGGACAGCTGCAGCCCTCCCGCCAGAATGCCGTGACCTTCTGCACTGGGGCATGGCCCAGCCTCCTGAGCTCCTGCCCATCAGCAAGGCCTCCCCAGTGATGAGGCAGCTTCCTGCAGAGCTGCCCTTGCCCTCAACCTGCCTCTTTGTTCCTAAGCACAGGAGGGGCCTCAGGAGCCCCGCCCGCCAGCCCAGGGCCAGACCCGGAGCATCTGCATTTTTGAAGCATTGGGCCAGCCCTGGGCAGGAATGGAGGAGCCGGCCCCACCCACTCCTGGGGATTAGCAGAACCGACGCCTCCCACTCCACCGCCCAGTCACCTCTCAGGAATTCGGAGCCTTGTAGAGACGGTGCAGAGTGGCTCCCAGCCAGGCCGGCCACACTCAGCTCCAGGGGTGATGCTGGCGACCACAGCCTGTGGGGGTTGAGGGCTCCCCACTCTAGCCTCACCTCACCCCGGCTCTGGGTAGCTCCCTCTGACTGCCGGAGTCAAGGTTCAGAGAGGTCACGTGGCTTGTCCAGAGCACAGTGCAGGGCAGTGCAGAGGTGAGATCCGACCCCAGGCAATGGTTCCCAAGTCCTCCCCACTGGGACCCCGTGCACAGGGCAGGTCCCACCTCCCCACCGGGACCCCGTGCACAGGGCAGGTCCCACCTCCCCACTAGGACCCCGTGCACAGGGCAGGTCCCACCTGCCCGGGCGGCAGACCTGGCTACAGCTGGAAAAGGCCCTGCTCTCACCTTCTTTGGCCTGTGGTCACGACGGTGCAGGCCCCCAGCCTCAGCCACGCCGGTGCAGGCCCCCTGACCAGCAGTTCCCACGTCCCTTCCCACCTTCCACCCCGGCAAACAGGCCTGATGGGAAAGGCCTCTATGTTCAGGGTGTGCTGGGCACAGGGACGAAACTGGGGTACAGCCTGGGCTCCCCAACCCTGTGTGTGCTCGCACGCTGTTCACAGGAGGGTTCCCCGGAACACCAACTGGGAAACAACGGACAAGACAAACTCCAAAGGCGCCCCAGCCACCCCCTGTGACACACGGAGGCCCCTGCATCTGGCGAGGGTCAAGCAGGCATTGTCCCCACTTTCCAGATGAGGAAGCCACGAGGAACACACTGCCCCCGTGGCGGGTGGGTGAGCAGAGGGGCCCAGGGCCCAGTGTTCCAGCCCCTCCCGTCAGCGCCCGGGGCACCCCCAAGGCCAGGGCTCAGGGCCCAGGGCCGGGCCCCTCCAGCACCGGGAACCGCTGACAGAAGCTCCCAGAAACAAGATGCGGCTCTTGGTCAAGCCTCACTCCGGGACGCTCCATTACTGCCCAATCTCTGGCCAGAGCCGCAAGCCAGC